GTCGTCTTCCCTCCTTCGTCGTTGTCGTCGTCGCCGTCGCCGTCCTCACTCCGTCTTCGTCGTTCGCGTCGTCGTCATCCTCCCTCCTCCCTCGTCGTCGTCGTCTTCGCAGGCGACGTTGTCGTCATCGTCGTCGTCGTCTTCGTCGTCGTCGGCGTCGTCGTCGCTGTCGTCGTGACAATCAAAATGAAATGCACCACATAGATTCTCCTTTCTAAAAAAGAATAGACTCTTACCCCCCCCCCCCGCGTTATCCGTACCCCTTTCGGGTATGTAAATCATGGATGTTTATGACCACATGTCCATCTCAACTATGAATTTGCACAATCCCCGAGGGGCCGGTACCGACCCCCCTGAGGTTCCCTTGTAAAAAACGATACGCGGGGACATCGTTTCTTCTAACATAACACTTTTTCGCGAATCCCTTGCAAAAAAAACGAAGTGCACACGCGCGCGCCATCGCGCGCGCACGCCGAAATCCTTCAAAAACCTTCGGTGTCGGAAGGATTTCGCAATCGAGTTCCCAAAGAACATACAAAAATTCAGGGTTTCCCAATACTGATCTGCTAAAAAAAACTTTCGCGCGAGCTCTTGCGAAATCTTCAGGAAAAACCTCAGGACTTTCAAGAGTTTCACAAAATGCTACCAGACGGGCTTCGCGCGCGCGCATGTCGAAATCTGTCGAACGCCTTTGAGCGTGTGCCGTCGCGAGAATCCTCTGCAAAACATTGGACGAAGTGCAGACGCGCGCGTCGTCACGCGCGGATGCCGAAACCCTTCGAAACCCATCGGCTTCGGAAGGATTTCAAAATCGTGTGTCCAAAAAAACCTACAAAAACAAAAGGTTTCGCAACACGGATTCTCAACAAAAGCGTGCGCGCGCGCTCTTGCGTCGTCGTCGTCGTCGTCGCCGTCCTCCCTCCTCCCGCGTCGTCGTCGTCGTCGTCGCCTACGTCATCCTCTGTCTTTCCTCGTGTTCGCCGTCGTCGTCGTCTTTGGCGTCGTGGTCGTTTCCGTCGTCGTTGTCGCCGTGGTCGTCATTCCTCCTCCCTCGTCGTCGTCGTCGTTCGTCGTCGGCGTCGCGTCGTCGTCCCTCCTATTTCGTCGCCGTCGTCGTCGTCGTCGTCGTCGTCGTCGTCTTCCCTCCTCCCTCGTCGTTGTCGTCGTCGGCGTCGCCGTCCTTCCCCCTTCTTCGTCGTTCGCGTCGTCACCGTCCTCCCTCCTCCCTCGTCGTTGTCGTCGTTGTCGCCGTCGTCGTCGTTGTCGTCCCTCGTCGTCGTCGTCGTCGTCTTCGTCGTCGTCGACGTCGTCTTCGTCGTCGCCGTCGTCCGTCGTCGGCATCGTCGTCATCTTCGTCGTCGCCGCCGTCGTCGTAGTCGTCGTCGTCGGTGCCGTCGTCGTCGTTGTCGTCGACGTCGTCGTCGTCGGCGTCGTCGTCGTCGGCGTCGTCATCGTCGTCGTCGTCGGCGTCGTCGCCGTCGGTGTCGTCGTCGTCGTCGTCGTTTTGTTGGCGACGTCGTCGTCGTCGTCGTCGGCGTCGTCGTCGTCTTCGTCGTCGTCGACGTCGTCTTCGTCGTCGCCGCCGCCGTCGTCGTCGTCGTCGTCGGTGTCGTCGTCGTTGTCGTCGACGTCGTCGTCGTCGGCGTCGTCGTCGTCGGCGTCGTCATCGTCGTGGTCGTCGTCGGCGTCGTCGTCGTCGGTGTCGTCGTCGTCGCCGTCGTCGTTGTCGTCGTCGTCGAAGTCGTCGGAGACGTCGTCGGTGTCGTCGTAGTCGTCGTAGTCGTCGTCGTCGACGTCACTGTCGTCGTCGGCGTCGGTGTCGTTGCCAAGTGCCATTTGGTACCTACCGTCACGGTCTCAAGAGGTTTTGCAAACCAAGTTGCGGGTGGATGGGTGGGATGTTTGCAAGAGCATGGGATGTGTCAAATCATGAGTGAAAATCCATTCTCCTTTCTACAAAGAGGAAAGACTCTACCCCCCCCACCGCGTTATCCGACCCCCTTTCGGGTACGTAAAACAAATATGGTTCTGACCACATGTCCATCCTAGATACGAATTTAGCCAACCCCCGGGGGGGTATCGACCCCCCTGAGGTTCCCTTGTAAAAAAAACGATACGCGGGGACATTTGTTGCTCTAACATAGGACTTTTTCACGAATCCCTTGCACAAAAAAAAGGACGAAGTGCACACGCGCGCGCATGCCGAAATCCTTCAAAAACCTTCGGTGTCGGAGGGATTTCGCAATCGAGTTTCCAAAAAGGATACAAAAACACACGGTTTTGCAACACTGATTTGCTAAAAAAGCTTACGCGCGAGCTCTTGCGATTTTTGCTTTGTTTAAGTAAAAATCAAGATGTCCACAAAATGCTGACAAACGGGCTTCACGCGCGCGCATGTCGAAATCTGTCGAACGCCCTTGCGCGTGTGCCGTCGCGAGAATCCTCTGCAAAAGATGGGACGAAGTGCAGACGCGCGCGTCGCCGCGCGCGTATGCCGACGAAATCATTCAAAACCCATCGGTTTCGGAAGGATTTCAAAATCGTGTGGCCAAAAAAACCTACAAAAACACAAGGTTTCGCAACACGGAATTCAACAAAAGCGTAACCGCGCGCTCTTGCGTCGTCGTCGGCGTCGTCGTCGTCGTCGTCGCCCTCCTCCGTCGTCCGCCGTTTTCGTCGTCGTCGCCTACGTCGTCCTCTGTCTTTCCTCGTGTTCGTCGTCGTCGTCTTTGGCGTCGTGGTCGTTTCCGTCGTCGTTGTCGCTGTGGTCGTCCTTCCTCCTCCTCCCTCGTCGTCGTCGTCGTCCGTCGTCGACGTCTCGTCGTCGTCCCTCCTATTTCGTCGCCGCCGTCGTCGTCGTCGTCGTCGTTGTCGTCGTCGTCGTCGTCTTCCCTCATCCCTCGTCGTTGTCGTCGTCGGCGTCGCCGTCCTTCCTCCTTCTTCGTCGTCCACGTCGTCGCCGTCCTCCCTGGTCCCTCGTCGTTGTCGTCGTTGTCGTCGTTGTCACCGTCGTCGTCCTCCCTCCTCCCTCGTCGTCGTCTTCGTTGGCGACGTCGTCGTCGTCTTCGTCGTCGTCGTCGGCGTCGGCGTCGTCGTCGTCTTCGTAGTTGTTGACGTCGGCGTCGTCGTCGTCGCCGCCGTCGGCGTCCTCGTCGTCGTCGTCGTCGGCGTCGTTGACGTCGTCGTCGTCGTCGGTGGTGTCGTTGTCGTCGTCGTCGGCGTCGTTATCGACGTCGTCGTTGCCATCGTCGTCGCCGTCATCGTCGGCGTCGGCGTCGTCGTCGTCGTCGGTGTCGTCGTCGTCGTCGTTGTCGGCGTCGTCGAAGTCGTTGGAGACGTCGTCGGTGTCGTCGTCGGCGTCGTCGTCGTCGGCGTCGCCGTCGTCGTCGTTGTCGCTGTCGTCGTCGGCGTCGCTGTCGTTGCCAAGTGAAAGTTGGTACCCACCGTCACGGTCTTAAGAGATTTTGCAAACCAAGTTGCGGGTGGGTGGGTGGAATGTTTGCGCGAGCAGTGGAGTGGACAACTCACTGCGAACAGAAATTAATAGCACCGCATTGATTGCACCGCAAAGACTGCATTGCATAGGTTGCGCCGCGTAGATTGCACCACATATATTGCACCAGTTAGGTTGCACCGCATAGATTGCATTACATTGATTGCATCGCGTAGATTACACCACATACACTGCACCGCATATATTGCACCGCATAGATTCCACTACATAAGATGCACCACATGGATCGCACCACGCAGATTGCACCGCATAGACTGCATTACATAGATTGCACCGCGTAGACTGTACCACATAGATTGCACCGCATAGGTCGCAACGCATATATCCCACCAGCCCTCTGGGCGTAGGTGGTCTAGAACAGATCCTCTTCCACCCCTCCCTCTTCCCCCTTGGGGAGGGGTTTACCCCTCCCCCTACCCCCTCCCCTGGACCTGGACGGGGGGGGCCGCGGGTAGTTAGAGCGTCCAAGATGGCCCAAGACGGCTCCAAGAGCGCCTCAGAGAACCCAAGATGAGCTCCAAGATGGCTCAAGATAGCGCAAGATCGCTCACGATGGCTCCTAAGATGGTTCCAAGAAGCCCAAAGACGGCCCCAAGATAACTCCAAGTGGCCAAACAGCTCCCCAAGGAGGCCCCGAAGAGGCCAAAATCGTCCCAAAACCTAAGGAAAATCAATGATTTTTGCTTTCTCGCCTTTTCGCTTCCGATGGCCATCCGAGGCCTGGAGATGGCTCCAAGATGGCCCAAGAGGGCCCCAAGAGAGCCCCAAAAGAGCCCCAAGACGGCCCCAAGAGCGCCCAAGAGCACTCCAAGAGCGTTCCAAGAGGGGTCCAAGAGGCGATTTTAGGGGCTTCCGAGGGGGGGCGCTAATTAAACCCCCCCTCTTGTTTGATCGACTCCCTCCAAGATGGCCCCAAAAGCGCCCCGAAGGCTCCCCAGAGCGCCTCAAGAGGGTCCCAAGAGGCGCCCAAGATGCCCCAAGGCGCCCAAAAAGCCCTCCAAGAGGCCCTCAAAAGACCCCCAAGAAGCTCCTTCCCCTCCTCCTCCTCCTCCTCCGATTCTTCCTCCTTCTCCGTCCTCCTCCTCCTCCTCCTCCTCCTCCTCTTCCCCCTCCTCCTCCTCCTCCTCCTCCGACGACGACGACGACGACGACGACTCCTCTTCCATCCTCCCCCTCTCGGGGTCTGTGACAGCTTCCCCCGCCCTTTGTTATTCTGCATGCTCCCCGACTTCCCTGATCACCTCAACTCCCCTGAGCATCGTTTCTGGATGGGCTGGTGGGGATACGCGAAGCGTCAACAATTGCATTACATAGGTTGCATCGCATGTATTTTTGCACCAAATATATATACACATATATATATATATATATACATACATATATACATACACATATATATTGCATAACACAGACTGCAAGAACCTACTGTTTGGGGCCCACGCTGACTAACATTGTTCCCTCTCTCGGCAGCTTCCCACCCCTGGTCATAGTGGTTGATCGCGTACATCAGCGTTATGACGAACGTCACGGTCCCCAGCAGCGTGGTCGAGATGCCCAGCGCCAAGGGGCTGGCCTTCCGGGCAGGACGGTGGTCCAGGAAGGGTAACCAAGCAGAGACGGTGGAGAAGCGGCTGGCAAGGGCAGATCGGTTGGAAGAGGAGGAGGAGGGAAAACGACGACGACGACGACGACGACAAGGAGAAGGAAGAGGACGAGAGCAACAGCAACGGCAGGACCAAGAGCAGAAGCATCGACACTTGCAGGGAAGCAATGGCAACACGGAAAGCAGCAGAGGCAGGAACAGGGAGGGAGCAGCATGACGACAAGATCTTTGTCGTTTTCTGCTGCTTGTCGAACAAGCAGCACCAGCAGCAGTAGCACCAGTACCATGGAAGGAGCAACAGCAGCCGGAACAAGATGACCAACGCCAGCAGGTAGCCCTCCAACTCAAGGGCGAGCAGCCCTATGCAGCCACTGTGTCTTGAACACCCCGGGATACGCACCGCTTGACACGGGCAAACACATTGTGAGCCGATTTCTCTTACTGCTGCCCGCGCACAAATCATTGAAAAAACAAACTCCACCACGTAATGGAGCCAGGGTTTCACAACCAACAAATACCTATCAAAGGGTAGTCGCAGGACATGTACCCTGCACCACATGTGCAGAACAACCTTGACAAACTGCAACCGTGAAAACATGCGACGTCTACCCAATAATGCTAACACGCAACACCCGGCCACCCAAAATACAATTTGCCTCGGCCAGAGCCCTACCTTGAACGACGCACAGACGTTACGCCTTGCCCCGTCTCGCACGGCACGGAGATGTTCTTGTTTTGGCGCGGGATAGCAGGCCCCGCCGAAGGCTTTTTTACAGTCCACAAAAGTTATGCAGGGCCCCGGGAAGCAAGCAGTCCTGAATGCAAACGTGTAATTGTTTTCGAAGGAACACCACGATGGCAACAACACAAAAAATGTTGGTGAGAAAACGTGCATCATGAAGCGCTGCTCGTCTGATTCCGACTTCGTCAGCCCACGCCCACAATGCAGCACCCAAGCCATACCAATGCATGCCACCCGCTGCTTGTGGGAGTCCTGCCATCGGTTTTTGTTGGTGCATCCAGGCGCTCCTCACACTCTCACACATAAAGACACGCATACCCTCACGCACACACACACACACTCACACACACACTCACACACACAAACACACACACACACGCACTTTTGAGGCAGCGGCGCAGAGGGTCCTCAAGCGTGGGCAGAAGCTGGAAGTGCCAATTGCGATCGAACATCGCCGAAAGTGCAGTGAAGGAGACGTCGAACACTGGGATGCAAACGATGGTTGGTGGACTAGAGTGGATTAGAGGGCCTGTCAAGCAAAAACAAAGCGTGCAGCGGCCAGAAACTGAGGAGCAAACTCAACTATCACCGAACTCAAGCGCAAGTCATCTGGTGCTCGTTGGCGGCCACTGGATCATCGGTCGAGCCATGTTCGACAGCGATGCGCGAGCAAGCCTGTAAGGCTGCCAGACCAGCCGCTTGGTGGGTTAGCGCTGAGCAAACTATGGCCTGGCGAGACTGATCGATAGGATGACACACGCGCATACAAACACACGCGCACACACATGTCTGATTTAAGTCGTCGGCGCAGAGGAGCATCAGGCGCGGTCGGAGGGTGGAGATGCCAATTGCGAACGAACTTACTAGAACGCAGCATGATAACATAATCCAGCCACGGCCATTCAGATTGGCCGTAGAGAAGGTGAGGCGCTGTAAAGTCAAGATGCAGCGGTCAAAGAACCCAAGGAGCCAAAGCTCAACGCAGAAACTTGAAGCACAACCAGCTGTCCAGTGCTAAGTAGTGCCTCAAGAGGCCACAAAAAGAACCGCACGACTGCCAGACCAGCCAACTAGGCGGCGGCGCACACACGCAGGGAGCTGCGCGACAGAGCGACGCTACTGGCCTTGCAATATGCTCGAGCACAAAAGCAACCGTGAAACAGAACGCAAGAGGTCAACGTGACAAAGATGATCACGCGGCGGAGGCTGACATAGCCTTGGACAACAAGCACCGAGCTGAACGCGGGCGACTTCGAGCAGCAACCACTTCAAGCGGCGGCGCACATGGGCAGTGGACAGGCGCGAGCATGGCCATGAGCGTGGACAGGCGCGAGCATGATCGACGTGCAACGCGGGCGCCCGCGTTATAAGAGCAACCCCAACGCAGCCGAAGCCGCACAGAGCTACCATGAGTAGAAGACCGTAAAACATAAAGATGGACAACCGCCTCGGCTCAAGTGAAAAGAAAGACGAGCAAAACCCGCCAACGGGCCACGCTAAAGCAGAGATGCCGGCAATCAAGCTGACATACAGCTACAGCTAACAGCGGGTGCGAGTCGCAGCCCGAGGCGCGGACGCGCACCCCAGATGCGACGCAGAAAACAAAAAATTAAACAGGCCGCGGCCATGCCAGCCAGCACCCCATGCCAAGACGCAAGCAGCAAGGCGGCACGGCCGCCGCCAGACAAGCTGCCAGGCGAGAAATTGCGCCGACCACGAGCGGCGCCCGCGGGCGCACCCGGGGGGGCGCAGGAACGCCAGTGCTCCGGCCGAGCCTCCGAGAAACCCTGGAGAGACGAACTGCCACGCAACCAGAAGCCCCCCCGCCTAAGGCGGTAGGGGGGGGGCACGGGCAGGATGGCACGGCGAAGAGCTAAAGCGAGCTACCCCGGGACGAAGCCTGGGGGGGCACGCCAAAAAGAAAAGCATGCCGCGGCCAAGCCGGCCCACGCCCCGCACCGGGGCGCAGGCAGCCAGGCGGCAAGGCCGCCGCCAGCCCCAATAGACCGACGGAAAAATCCAACAGCTGGCACAAACACATGGGCGGCGCAAGCGAAGCAAGACACGGCCCAGCACCAGGAAGACATCCCCTGGGCACAGGCCAGCCGGGCAACCAAAAGAACCTCACCGCCGCGCCGAGAGTTCCGCGGGACATGCCACGAAGCACTTGGAGATCGAAAAACAAGTGCCAACAACACCGGCGTCCACCGCGCGGAGTAGGGGCAGGTGAAAAAAAGCGGAGAGCGGCAATGTCGCAGCTACGCAAGAAGGCCCCACCAAGGACACGCAATGGCGCGCAGGGAGACATGTAGAGGGGGAAAGCAAACCGGGCGAAGCGAGGAGAACACTCCCGCCAGCAGCATCGCGAAAACTATCGGGCAACCCTGAAATCACTCGTTTTGCAGAGCATGGGCGGGAGCAAGGCGGAGCCTCAGTCCAGCTCGCGCCTCCGTTTGCGGCACGACGTCGCCCTCGAACGCCCTGTCGGCCTGGCCCCCCCTCCACTGGAAAATATTGAGCGGCCGAAGTTCTGGAAGTGGGCCACGGCAGAATATGAAGTGGGCCACGGCAAAAGTGACATTCGCCTTCCTTCGCTGTGCACAGGGCGCACAAGGGCGCGCGCTGCCCAGGGGCCCAACGGGCGAAGCTGCAGTGCTGGCGGCAGCACCGGCGGCGGCGCTCACATCCGCGGCAGCGGGAAAGCTACAGCGTTAGCTCTCGCGCCGCCCGCGCGGACGGGCGCCGAGGCCGCTGGGCAAGAAATAATACCTGGCGAACCTCCCGTGGACTCTGCCGGCCCACAACGGGCGCCGCGAGGGCCCGTGCGCGAGCGCGGCCGAGCCTCACCACTGGAGGCCGGCTCCGTGGCGCTGGCTGCGGCGCCAGGGGCGCCATCGTCGCCCATCGCCCTGCCCGGCGGGCGGGGGGGGGCGCAGCGGCGACGAACCCCGGCTCGCCCCGAGCGGGCCCGGAGCCAACAACGAGCCAGCCCCGGAGGCACGCGAGGCACGGAGACAGGGAGTCGACCTGGGGGACAACCTCAAACCGCGCGCAATCGCCAGCCTCAACATCGCCCAGCCACGTGGGAGCGATGCGCAACGGGGGGCACACGGGCCTGCCGCGCGCGGGGTCGTCGGCGCGATGGGCTCCCGTGGGGGCGCGCCAACCCCCCACGCACAACCCACCGCCGATCGCGTCAGGAACTGGAGTGGACAGAGCATGAGAAAGGCCCGGCGAACTGCTGCGCCTGTGAGCGGTAGCCCCGAGGGCCACTTTGGAGTCTAGGAGGACCAGGACACGGGAGTTCGGGTGACGCCTGCAGCAGCACTTGCACAAGCTCTTGCAAACCGAAGAATGCTGATATGCCGCGGCATGCGAAACTCCCAGCTGTAGGCAAGTCGGCAACGAAGGGCCCCCGAAATCTCAGTGATCCACCGAGGCGCGACGGGGGGCTCGAGGGGAGGGCGCCCCAAGTCGCGCAGCAGCTGGGTGAGCTCTGGGCCCAGAGGGACTCTTCGGCTGAGAACTGGAAGCACGTGCACGGCGGTGCCGACGGGAGAGCGGACGACCCCCCCGCGACTGAGAGGCGCGCCCGCGCCGAACACTTCGGGGCAGGGAGAGGCCCGAAGGTCGGCGACAGCGGTATAGGCAAGGAGGGTGCAAGCGAGCAGCTCGCCCCGCACTGCGATCGGAAGCCCGCGTTGGAGCCCAGCTTTTGCCGAAAGGGTCGACGAGGAGATGTAAGCGTGGACAAAAAGCGACGGTAGAGGCCATCGGAACAGGAAGACCTGCAACCAACGCCCGACCAAGGACGCCAGGACGGCGCGGGTCGGAAACCGAGGAGCACCTGGATGAGGGCGAGCCTGCAGACTGCGACCACCCGCGCCAAGGGTGCGCAGACAACGCCAATCCTGCCCTCGATCTGTTTTCCCAACCACCCTGTGGCGTTGGGCCCTCGCTTTGAAGAGAAAGTGCCCCGAATCTCCATCCTCCTCTCCTCTCCTCTCCACTCTTCTCATCTCATCTCCTATCCTATCCTCTCCTCTCCTCCTCCCCCCCTCCCTCCTCCCATTCCTCCCCCCTCCTCCCTCCTCCATCATCATCATTGCCATCGTCATCACTATCAGCACCATCACCATCAGCATCAGCATCAGCATCAGCATCAGCATCATCATCATCATCAGCAGCAGCAGCATCATCAACATCACCCTCATCATCATCATCATCA